AAGAAGAAGAAGAAGAAGAGATATCATTATTGTTATTATTATTATTATAATTTATTATTATTAATACACTAATAAGTGTTCCTTTTTAAAATCCTGATGGTCCATGATCCACATCCTTATATTGCGGTGGGTTATGCACTGTATGACACTTAAAACTTGTTAAAAATGGATTTTCGTGTCTTTGCATTGTTCTTTTCAAGAGACTGTCACCTATTTTCAGTTCTGATGTTGTGATTGCAATTCTTTGTTTAATATCTGGTGTTGATTTACCAATAATTTTCCATAATCCTGGGTTCAAAATATTCAATACTTTTGTACTGCTTATTTTTTCTATTTAATTTTCTTTCCCATCAATTCTAACACAGCATTGTGATAACAAGATCCTGCCGAAAGAACAGTTAGAAAATGGGTAACATTGATTGTTGTGGACCAAAACTGAGAGGATATAACACGTCTGATAAACAACAACACAACCAACAACCAACCAACCAACCAACCAACCAACCAAACAACCAAACAAAACAAACAGCATACGCGGAAGAAAGTATGGTGACGGTGAATGGTGCTCCTCCATCGAGGGAGCTCAACTTCACAGTCCACCCAAAATAATGTTCCTAAGGACGAGTAAGGCTAGGATTAAAGATGCAGAAAATCTGAAATTGATTTGTTCAGTTAGTATGTACAGCTCTATGTTTGTATTCAGAGGCATGTGGTGTAATGATCAGGCTCTTCAATTCACTTGCACTTGCAGAAAACGTGAGTTACCCCCACGCCCACGAAGAAACACTCTGTCGATCATCTGTAATAATAATATAGTACTGCCATTATTCTCCAGACTCGGATGACTGGCCAAGTTACTCTTCGCTAGCATCGTCGAAGAGTCTGCCTTCTAAATGACCTACACGAAAATTGTGTCGACCTGGGTATGAAACCTTTACGACAAAAATCATAAGGGGAAAGATTTTCTTTAACTTTATTGTGTTTTCTTGTATATCCCCAGCCACGGCATGTGTTCTGTTCGGTGTCGCTGTGCTCCTGTACCCACCCGTCTGGACACTGGTCACTCTTTGTCTGATGACCACCCTGGCCCTGCTCACCATGGGTATGGCCAACCCTTGCCGCGGCCTTCCCTTTGTGCAGACTGTGTTCGACCTTGTATGGTCCCCTTTCTCGCAGCTAGTCAACTACCAGAACATCCTGTACCCACAAATCGACGGAGAACGTCGACGAGGTCACGGGCCTTGGGCAGTGAGAGGGGAGATACCAGCCTGGGCGAGACGCCAGATTTACGTGGTATTCACGTGTTTACAGTACGGGCAAGGTGGACTGGTTTGTTTGTACGTAGGTCTCGTTCTGTGCTATAAGTCAACATTTTTATTTCTGGAGGAGGTATTCTGCTTGGATAATTTCATGAACACTCAGATGAACCAAGGGAATGCAAGTAAAAGTCCAATACTAGTTCGTTCTTTCCAAAATTTTGAAGTATCCACCAGAGTAGCTTTCGTAAGTTTGACCTCAACAACTTTCCTCGTGGGAACCTCGTATTGTTTTGGGCGTATGACATCATCGGCGGAAATTGTACTCACTCTGACCTTTTCCTGCCTGTGTAACAAAAAGATACAAGCCGGTGCAATGTCGGTGATAGGAAACCGCTACCCCCACGCCGTGGATGGTCTGGGGGATTTAGTCGTCCTCGGAATATTTCTCCTGTTGGACCTGGCCTTGTCGAGCCGCCAGTTTTTCAACGCTCTGTACAGCTATAACATCATCATCATCAGCGTGACCTACTGTAACGCCTTTGCTGCTCTCATGGAGTTCCGGATCAAAGTGTGGCTCAAGATCAAGTATGAGCGACAACTTGTATCTGACATGCGTTGGGCTACGCCGGATGAGCTGAGGGCTCACGATGACGTCTGTGCCATCTGCCTGGGTCACATGACCTTGGGCCGAGTCACCTTCTGCAGACATCTGTTCCACGGCAAATGTCTCCGTCTGCTTCTCAAGACGAACACTCAGTGCCCTCTGTGCAAGGCCAAACTGGTCACTGCTGTTGGCCATGGACACCTGGCGTTTTGATATGCCACATGACTTTATTTCTTGTCAGTATGTTACAGTCAATTCCATCTTGTCATAGGTTACTACTAAATAACATGGGTTCTTATACTTCACTCATTTTTTATTTATTTTTTTGATATAATGTTATTTTTTCATTCAATTCCGTTACATTTTGGATACCGAAGGCCTGAATTGTGAATATCGCGTGCATACAAAATGAGGATTTCACAGCCGATTTCATCACATTAAGGCTAATACACACTTGCTTGGCGTTTTAATACCCGAACACCACGACGTTTTTAATTCCCAGAGAGGGTTTTACTCCTTTTTCAACCCATTTAAGCCACTACGTACCAGTCCGTTATGACACCCCCCACACACACACATCCCCAATAATGCACGATAGGTCAAGACCATCAAAAGTTGTTCCTTTAGAATTTTTTTTTCCTTTCTATGATAGACCCTGAACTCAAAAGCTGCATAAACCTGACACAATTGCCCAAAATAACCAAGTGAGGCAATATGGATATAAGAAAGTGTTCCAAATCACAGGAAATAAAATTTGACAACGAATAAACACACCAAAAAAACAAACAGTTCTTAGAAATACATGTACCCAAACTCTTCAGTTTGTGAGGTTACAAAAAGGTCACTCAAAAAATGAAAGTTGCAAATTGTGCTCCAGTCTACTGTACCTCAATAATAATCACTTTTGAAAGAAAATAAGTCAGTTCACCATTAGGCCTATGGTTAAAATAAGATTGACCACTCGTTTTTGTATGGATCTTATAAGATTTAATATTGTCCTCCACGAGACTCCACTACGGGCACTTGCAAAGCATCTAAAGAATCATAGCTAGAATATCCTACAAATATTCGATACCATTCATGTCTGGACTAACACTAGACACTAATATCAGCAGGCATTGGTCCCATAATAACCAATTTAATTGTTTTCGAGAAACCGCCTTGTATAATTACACTACCTCAGAATTGCAAAATTCTATCTGACATTTTTGGCAGTTTGAAGTTACTAAGACCATGAGGTCAGAAACCTAATGTTGTATCTGCTCTATCAAAATCGTATGATTATTTGGAGTCGTTATCAAGACATTCAAGGAACTGCATTCGAAAAAGCTTGACTTGATGTGAAGTTCAAAATATTTGACTTCAAATTTCTCTAAACTAAGTACAGAGCAGATAGAACTTTATAATCTGAGGTAGCGATAAGCCCAGTGGCGAGGAGCATTGTCGAGTTGGGTCAGCACAGTACCGTTCCAAAGAGTTCATTGGTGAACTTTCCAACATGCGTATTCTGTGGTCATAATTTGCTATAGTTTTGCAACTGCCGCTTTAAAAAAAAATTAAGGTATCTTTTCAAACGGCTCCCTCACAAAGACCATAAAAAATGTCTGCTTTATTTCGTTGGCATATTGTAGAGCACTAAATTTGCTTTATAGTGATATTATGTGGCTAAATGAAAATGTTATAATTGAACTATTAAAGATGGCATCTACAAAATTGTTAAGTTCATTTTGCTCCTGAGTATACAAAGTGTTTCTTATTGTAAAGTGATAGGACAAGCGTCTTGAATTTTATGAGAGCAATATTGGAGGCATAAATGACCCTAGACTAAGTGAATTTCTGGTACAAATGACGAGTTTTTACGGCACTCTTAAATCGCCCTAAATCGCCAGATTTCACCTATCGGCAAGGGATGATTATTAATAATCATAGGTGATCCACAGATTTGCCAGCGCTGCTTGTTGTTTTGAATTTGCATGTGTATACGGTATGTGTGTGTCAGTGTATGTGTGTGCGTTTGTGTGTGTATTTGCATAACGTGTAGGTGTATGTGTGTCTGTTTGTGTGTATGTATGTGTGTGTATGTATGTGTGTGTGTGTGTGTGTGCGTGCGTGCGTGTGTGTGGCATGGGGAAGGGGGGTGGGATTGGATGACTTACATAGATGTTGTTTATTTTGTTGTTGTTTTTTTTAAATTTTGTTTCTTGTTTTGATTGTTTGCTGTTGGGTCATTTTGTTTTTTAGGTTGGGTTGGATTGGGTTTCTTTTTCTTTTTCTTTTTTTTTTTTTTGGGGGGGGGGGGGGGGGTGCCACATGTATTCAATTTTGATCGGTTGTGAACTTTGTAAGTGCCAAGTTGAATAAATGATTTTTTTAAAAAAACAATAGAAGAAAGACCTTCCATATTATGAAAAGAAATCTATTTATAATTCTTTTGAAGTTAATTTTATTGTGGGAAAAGTGTTATCCCGGGGGCGGTGGCCCATGAAAAATGGTCGCAGAACAGATGCCCGTTGGTTAAATGAATCATTAGTTGGTATAGGGTCGGGTCTGATCAGCTCTCTGGTCTGATACCAAAAAAAAAAAGTTAAACGTGTCTATCGTGCATGACATCAAGGCGACCCAAATGTAGCCACTGGGAGAGCAGAAACCCTGGATGTACGTGCATATTTTATAGGTCAATAAATAGGGCCTACATTCAGAATGGAAGTTGACTTCTCTGCACACTGGGCTATATCAATTCTGCATGCGGATAAAAAAAAATCTGACCCCACAATGCGTAGTAGCCTCTGGTTAGTTGTTGGTCCCGATTTCATCACACTAAACACGATCGTGACCTTTAAAAAATTCAACATGTTTGATTTTGGAGGATTTGGTCAATGTGTGCCAAGATAATTTATGTAGCAGTATTTTGCTACGATGAATGAAAATCTGGCCGCCCTCAACTGCATCAAACCACATCGAATGGTAATCTGAAGAAATTTGTGCAATGTGCACTCGGTGTAAGAATTAGCTACTCATACGTCCACCCTGTAGGCCTATTTTGAACTGCGCCCAACAGTGTATAGAATAGTATGGGTTGTTGCCCCTATAAATTACATGTATAAAACTATTGGACTACTGTCACTGCATATTTATAAAGCAAAACCTCCGAATTTATATGTCAGCACTTCTCAGAATCGTCTTAATTGAGCTGAATTACGGAAATGTGTCAACTCGGTGGGTTCCTAAACAGTTGATAGATGACCACAAGGCACAGTACAATGATGTTTGCACGACATCGTTGGAACGATGTAGATGAAAATATACATGACAACATGAGATCCGGGAGGCCTGCAAGACAGAGATTTCTTAGTACTTACTGAAAGTACTGAAATTAAGCTTTTGAATGACAGTCCTGATTTTGCTTCTTCAGACTTCCACCTGTTTGTACCTACCAGTGCAGCGATATCTAGCTGCAGAGAAAATCACTGGTAACCAAAGAGGCTGGTAACACAAACTTTGTGGAGAACGGTAGAGATAGGCTTTGGTAGCTTGACTTTGACGGAAAATACTAGAAGGATGAATGGCATGCATTATACTCATACAGCGACGGGAAGAAAACTTGAGTGTTCACGGGGACTAACTACATTGAGAAATAAAAGGAATGTCTAGCCAACTAACTGTGAAAATTATATCTCGGTCATGACAAAATGTTATATTATTTTATCATTTATAGTATTGTCATTTTTTTCGGTTATTTCTGGACCAGCTCTCGTCGATTATTTTTCAGCAAACACTTCCTTTTAATTAACACGCTAACCCGTAGAACACGCATTCTTCCCAGTGGAAACACTTGTATTTCAGATACGGCTTCAGATTCCCTTTTTTTAAAATACGGCTTCTGTACTGTTACAGTGGATAAGTCCTACGCTAAAAAAGTGAGTTTGTTTATTTTAGTAGGTTTTACGGCACTCGCAACTGCATAAGGTCATATGAGCGCCAGAAGATTAGAGGTGTTACAAAAGAGTAACAAACATAAAAAAGAAGGGGAGATAAGGACGATAGATGTTTGATAGGAAAGAAGAAGCAGACCACACCAGAGCATCTGCCACCCACCTACACGTAATAATATGGCTCCACACACAAAAAACTTTGTCTTTTGCTTGGTGGATGTTGTGTCTTTCTCAGATCGGGGTTGGCCATTACATTGTAGTGACAGGCAAGATCGCATCCACCGCCTTCTAAATCATGCACTTTTTTCATGGTGGTTTTTAGAGGTTTGGGTGTTCCGAAAGAAGCAAGTAATCAGAGCAAAAGTATCACTGCCAGTGAGACAACGTGAAACCAGATATATCATAGCAGGTGAAGTCATTGAAAAGTGACACAAGCGCACGCTACTTTCGAATCTCCGAGAAAAAAATCCGCTATCTCCTATGAGCCTTAAAATTTCTCTTGCAAAATGTCGCTTGTGGCACACTTCTCACAGCTTGTCAATAAATGTTTCGCAATTTATTGTTCCTTGCATTAACAGTTTGCCCTGGTGGTATATTAATATTATATCGAGAGCAGAAAACCTAATCCGAAAAACATAACGACAATCAGTTTCATCGCTGTTTGTAAAACTTTGAACTTTTTGATTGACAGGGACGAAGAATGCATCCTTGTCAAAGGGTCTCTTTTCGTTTCTGTAATACCGCGATACACTCGCACTTGAAAGCTTGAGAAAGTCTCACAATTACTGTCAAGTCAAGCCCTAATGACACCACTACCCCCCCCCCCCTTCTTCCCCAAAACGGTTCCCGCAACGACGCAACCTTCTCCGCGCACGTCCACTTGATTCTGTACGCGATGATACACTGAACTTTTGCTTTCTTCAATCTCTTGCTTTGGGGCCTATTCAGCCAAGACAACACTCAACAAGTTACACGATCACATACTGCTATACTGAAACTGAAACATAAGGGCCAAGAAGCCATAACATCTCCTTACAGAAGTTAACACTGCCTGACTCCACGAGTCAGGTCACTGAATGTTGACTTTCGACTTCAAAGTTTCCGGGTGGCATATAAATGCAAGTGGTTCGTCTTTCCGATCTGTCCGTTCCGTATGGGAACAAAACAAAACCAAAAAAGGACCAAAAAAACCAACAACCCCAACACAACTGCAGCTTCATAGGCGATATACCTGCTCTTTACTCATTACATTACAATACATTCATTTACACCACCACACCATTCATTAAAAATTTCTGTGGATTTTTGTTTTGTTTTGGTGTGTGTAGAGTAAAAACCATAGTAGTATTAGTAGGATACAGGTAATGATATGGCTCTACACACATTAAAAATGAACCATTTATAATTTATTTTGAAAAAAAAGTGTCGCCATGTTTGGTATGACGTCAGGCAGATGTTCAATGGTGCAACTGGTAGGCCTACAACATGTACTTCGCCAACACATTTTGCACAGCCGAATCAAGTTTACTCCTTTTATTCACAGTGATTGTAATGTGAACACACATTATGAAATACCTCTTTTTTTTAAAATACAGTATTTCTTTTTGGTACCGTATGCGTTTTACGGGGCTCACAACTGCATTAGGTCATAAGAGCGCCCAGGACACATAAAGCATTTTCAGTTTGGTAGGAAGTATTTTCGAATTTTGAATATTCGGTTAGCGGTCGAAGCCTACTCTTATCGATTTTAGGACCACCACAGGATCTTTAACATATGCAACTTGCAAATGGGACCTCCAAGATTTTTCGCCCTTATCCAAGAATGCCAGGTGCTATATCTTACCTACCCTAAAATCAGGGGTGTGGCTGAAAGAAAGGAGTAAGGAGCCAAGGGGTAGCAGTAGAAAGGCTAGTCAGGAGCCCAAAAGGGGGCAGAAAGTGGAGACTAAAGCAGACAACAGAGTAATATGGTTAGAGACTAGAGAGCAGGAATGGAGAACATTTTCCATCACTGTCAAGTTATGAACTCTGGATCTACTGAATGACAGGTGAACACCGTACCTTTAGACCACCAGACATATCTCTAATACTAATAATAGCCCTAATAATTGACCAGCCCACCTCCAGTTTCCACTGGGAATCCTTTCACTTTCAGCAGCTAAGTTGTCTTCAGAATTGTGCATCATGCACACAGGACCCCCACCCACATTTTTCACCCTTACCCAACAGGATTGGGGCAGGATTTGACTACCCTAAGTTAACATGTGTACGTTTAAAAATCTAATGGAAGACCCTGTGTAAATCTAAATGAGTAACTGAGACGGCATGAACATAGAAGAATGTAACAGAGGGACAGTGTATGGTATTTCTTAATGAACTTTTAAAGCAATAACCCTATCCGTACATCGTGTTTTACTATCGTATTCATATGACGGGGGGAACTCTGTGCCACCACTTCCAAAGAGGAAATTTACCCGTTAAACCGATCTGTACACTTTGCATGGCGGTCTGTCACAACCCTGGGGGTGCGAAATGACCCCAGGGCGTACCGATAGGGTTAAAAGTGTATCTAAGAAGTAGGAAGCAGAGTAGACCCATCTCTGACATAGCAGTTCAATTATAGGCGCAGAGCGTTGAAAACTACCAACATTTTTTTCAAAAATTGCGTGTTGATGATTCAAAGCAGGGTCATCGACACCAAAAGTCCTGCATGATATATCAATTGAGCTAATAGTGTCCCCCAAGCAGAGAGACTAGCATCTGTAAGTCAATGAAACTCAAATTCCCCACAAGACATGATCCAGAAGAACACAGAACACAAAAAGTATAGTTACTGGAACTTTTATTCAACAACATCAAACCTTTGTAGAGGCCGAGTGAAGACATTATGAAAAGCAACTAGCCTGTGAGCTTTCTAATATTTAAAAAAAATATTTACACAACAGGTCTATGGGAATGGGTCACAATATATACCAAATGATACCAGACAGAAATTTTTGTTGTCACATAAATCGACTTGAAAACAGCAAAAGCAGCAACAGTAGCCATGGTTCTCCAAGAAGATACGACATGGCAGAAGTAAACACAAACTAAACTGTTACCAGAACTCCACTTTAGAGTACATATGTAGAAATGAAAACTTTTAAAAAGTTTTTACCACCCTTCAAAATTCCATATATACAATTTAAAAAGCTGTATGGTCATTCCTCCGGCTTTTGAAAAAATATCTAGACATGAGTTGTTTTCAACATAAATGGGGAGACATAGTTTAGGCACTCCCAATAAGCGAAGAGGGCAAGGCAGTGTCAGTATGACTGAACAAACCACAAAATGACTCCAACATGCGTATGCTTAAGATAATGTTTGGTTCACACACACACAGACTGTCGAATACGGATGAGTTTGATATCGTTAGGGGAGTGAAAAAAGACAAACTCACCCAAAGTTCAACTCAACCTTTGGGAACTGTAAAGAAGAAGAGGTGCTAGGACCCGATAAAAAGATCAACTTAACCGAAGATCAACTCAAGTGAGTACAACCCATGCGGAGGTGTGCTTCTGTTCATGGTTCAGAAAAAGACATTTGTATGTCCTCTGCCTGACCATGTGTTTCAGTGGCTTCTTTCAGTTCTGTTCTTCCAGCCCATAGCCCACTGTCTACACTCACATCATGTACAATGTTAGAGAAAAACTTTTTATCTTGTGTTTTTTCTGTTTGATCTACCCTTCTTGTTCCCATTGGGAGCCACTTGCTTCAACCTTGGAGCACACTGACAGCAGACCACCACTCCTACATGCCACAAAACAGAAAACAACTTCTACGGATAAATACATTTCACTGTATGACTCTATCCATGGAACAAATCTTTGTAAAAGAATATTCATCTTCCAAGAGTTTTCTTGACACTTAAAACCTTCATTAACATTAGGAAAACAATACTAGCCAACCTAGTAGGGCATGTTTGAATCCACCAATGTGCTTTATCACTTAGAAAATTAACTGTACACACACTAGCCCTTCATTCAAAAGGACCTAAAGTAAAAGCAATGTCACTGCACTTAATACTTAATAAGAAGAGAAACATACATCTGCAAAAGAAATTCCAAAAAACAGGCAAGCAAAGCCCCCAGGCTCAAACACAAAGGGTGCTGGGGCGAGGGAACAATGAAGCATGAAGTAGTATAGTATCAAAAATGGAAACAACAGAATGTATGACACAGTAAGTAACAGATCCTTTATGTACAGAGAACCCCATGTGTCCTCCACTGACGTAATGAACTGCAAAGGACGAGTATCTAGTCTTCAACAATGAGATTCACTTGATGAATCATACCAAAACCTGACAGGGAGTTCCACATGGGGCACTGTTTCTCTCTCCATCCCCTTCTAGACAAACTGTATCATCAATACTAAAAAGATAATGAACACAGGAGGTCATGCAGCAGAACTGTTGAAACCTTTCTTTAGGAAGTTGCCTCAACCTCTTTTTCCTTTCTGTCTTTCTTTTCAGCACCTAGAACATGAAGAAAAAAGGAAGGTGTTGAGTGGCAGTTTATGATAAGGCAGCGCGCTAAACAACAGTTTGCCAGCATTTAAGGATACAGGGGACACAATAGACAACAAAGCATGAACAGGGAAAAATCATGAAAAAAGCAGTTATGTACACAACGCAAGTCATAAAAATCATAGAGCAGAGGTACCACTAGGTAGTCCGAACAGAACCTAAACGGCTGTTATAACTGCTTGTTCTTATTCTTTAAAAAGGCCCAGATTCATGAGTGAATATTAATTAATTTCTTGTATAATACAATTTTCATATTGGATTCCCCAAACTACAGGCACACACAAGAACAGTAACCCCGCAAAGAAAGAACACCAGCCAACAATCTTTAGCTTTAGTAAGAGTTTTACGGCACTTGCAACAATATAAGGTCATGTAAGTGCCGAAGATTAGAGGTAGCTAACAATCTAATCAGTATAAAGAAAGGCAAAAAGTAAAGTGACATGACACTTTTGATCCAAAGACTTACATGACAGACTATCACCAGCACAAACACAATTACAACAAACGGACTTGTGCAAGACATTCGTTTTTTTAATAGTTTTAGTGAGTTTTACGGCACTTGCAACACAATAAGGGCATATAAGTGCCGGAGATTAGAGGTACTACAAGAGAGTAACAAACATAAAAAAAGGAGGAGAGATCAGGACGATAGATGTTTGTTAGGAAAAAAGGAGCAAGCCACACCAGAGCACCCGCCAACCACCACATACAAGACCTTAAATTTCTCACTTTTCCTCATTTGACCCTACTATGACCCTTTGCTTTGACAGTGCACAATTGTTTAAATCTTTGAACATACAAGCTCCTCCCTCACATCCACCCCCCTCCACACAAAATAAAATGAAATGAACAAAACAGCTTGTACTCAAATTAGAGATAGCCCGGCGCAGAGAACTCTCAAACATTTTTACACTTATCCATTTACTTGGGTCATGTGTCCAGCAAAGTTTCATGCCTTCCTAGTTCGTAGCAGGCACAGCATCCATCGCAACAAATGTGCAATGGTGATACATTTATCATAGCTGCCACTCGAGAATTTAAAAAAAGGAGGCAATTCACGCGAAAGTGTACGCGTGCTCTCCGAAGGCCGGAGTAAAACCAGTTTGATCCAGAGACATAACATTGGAACATTTATGTTTTTGGAAGGGAAAAGTGTCATATTTATTGTTAACTAGATCTAATGGCTACTGAATTAAAACGCATTTGAAAAACAAAAACCAAACAAGCAATCCAAGACACTAAGTTGACTAGCAAGCATTTGACCCAGTTTGGTGACTAAAAATCCAGTGTTTGCCAGCTTGTGTCTCATAAAAAGATTTCTTTCACTTTAGATTTGAGCAACAATGTAGAGCAGTATTGGATTAAAGAGGCAACACATTTCCCACAGTACTACAAGATTGCTTTTCTTGTTAATTGTTTACTTTCTCGCGTTTAACTCAAGGGGAGGACTTCCTTGCGAGCGACCACTCCGAACTCTATGAATATTATACTCAATCAATGGCCATCAAAATCAGCACGGAAGGCCTAAAGCCAGTATGTTACAAGATATCTACTTAAAAATGATGAAATTGCTGTGGTTTTCATATTCTTAACTCCAGCGCAAAGTTTTGAATATCCAGTCAGGGATGCATAGAGTTTCGTCTAGATCTAGGAGTGGCCGGAATTAAACATGAGAAAGTAAACAATTGCCTTCTTACTTTATCGCACCAAACGCAAAGTGCAATACCCGGCTTGTTCAATTCTCAAATGAAAATTTTAAGTCGCACACTGTCTGGCTCTTTCTCAATCCAGCTCCATTTATTTTTGCATTCTGCGTCAATTTCTCTCGAATTTCCGCCATTTTCAATGACAACTCGGTGCGCCATCGTCCCGATGCTCGATCGACAGTCCACACTGTCGCTCCGCAATAATAAACAATGTGAAACTAGGCACAGAACGGATGTAGGAATCTACGGGCAGACATGCGCAAGCCGCTTTTTTGTCTCACTCCCGGTTTGGCGTTTTCCGCGTGTAAAATAAGTATCGCAATTTGCGACCGAAAGCGGTCCAGCGGAGGAAGAAGGAAAGAAGCAGGAAAAGCTAGATGAAGCGGAGTTTCCGCTATTTAGCGGGAAAGTGGCAGCTATGACGTATATAATGCAGTACTTTTACAGACATGCCTCACAAATTTCCCTGAACATAAGTCGTGTGTCCAAGCAGAACGATTTCCAACTTACCCCCCCCCCCCCCCCTCCCATTTTAAGGGGTGTGTGTGTGTGTGAATCCTTCACTAAGATTTTGGGCTAAAAGTTTATCTGAAGGCTGAAAAAAATTCATGTTCGAACTTGGCGAGGTAAATCTTCCTCCTAAAAATCCTACAACACCAAAACAAATCCTACCACTACAGGTCAAGTTGTTTCTTGACATTGTCGGTGTTACGGTTTTCGTCAAAGATAATAACGTAGAAGAGGCTCTTTCTTACACATCTTCAGATAGCGAACTTGATCACCACTGCGATCCCAAATGTTCCAAGGTAGCCAAGTTTTGTGGGACTACACTGAAAACTCAGCTATTTTAGAATCTGAAAACATCTCATGAATGAGACTCGTGTCAACAACTGCTCTAGTTGATTACTATATTACTGTTGGTGCTCCTTTCAGTATGTCTCACAACACTTGTTCTGTTCTTGGTAAACCTAAAAATAGATTTGGCACCACACTGGCTGGTTTGGGCTTTCATGTGTTTTTGAGGTACCACCTGATTGACCGATGACATACACTTGGGAACAAAACTTACATCTAAACTTGCATTTATCATTTGGACACTCCATCCATTATTATGAATACTTAGGGTTGGACAACCACTCAGTCTTGATGAAGTAGCACTTTCCCATGATACTGATCTAGTCTAGATCTCTCTCTAATTATAGTCTACAAATAATATAGTAATAAAAATCTAAGAAAAATAAGTCAGTCTCTAGCCTGGATTTCAATAAGCCAAGTGCCATCAATCTTCTACTCTTGCTGAGTTTTTCCATGGTCATAGATAAAGAATCTAGATGCTTCTACTTTAACGAACCAACTTAGTATATCCCTCTCTATATATAATATAAATATCACAGAGCTTTCTAGCTCGCCTCGACTGTCACCCATCCAATGATATGCCAACCCTTTAGTTCAATAACACTGCTTACAAGGTATGACGGATCCCGGTTCCACACAAGGCCTGCACCACGCGCTATGCAGAAAGCTTTCGCTGCAATCAAAATTCTAAATGCTAAGCTAAAATTTGCTACCAAGTTCAGTTTTTATCCCCTGATGTTACCTTTAACCCCCCCCCCCCCCCCCCCAGTGTGTCTTTAAAAAAAAAAAAAAAAATCAATAATGCCGCCATTCTAGAGTCCTATACTTTGCAGCACTTAGACTTAGCATGGACTTTGGAGACCCCAACATTCGTGGTACTCACTCGACGCCTTATCACGTGTGACATACAAACACGCAGGTCCACTGACCGGTCACGATGACCAGCCTGACAAGATGCTTGTATAACTTTCTTTTCTTTTTACACAAGTGACAAATATTGATTTATTTTCATGGCGACACAGCCTTTATAATGCACAAACTGCACGCACAATGATGTGTTATCAGACCGGCAAATTTCAGGGTGGTTGTGAAAGCGAAAGTTTGATCTAAATTTTCCCGATTGAGCCTCGGTATCACTCAAACACTTCTGCCTGCCGCCATAGCCGCTCATCCGCATGAAACGTACTCTCACTCTCAGACCGAATGATCGCGACCGACAAAATAAAGGGACGTTATTGGATTTGGTATCCAAATATTCAAGACTTTTTATTTTTTTCTTTCCCAAGGCAACTTACTGATTTCCTCAAAGTTCCTTTTATTGCTGACGTTGATCCAACCATTTCCATCCCAAAAAATTTTTTCTTACAAAAATCCGACTTATCCGACCTAAAAAAAAATTTCTACCAATTTCCGACTTCCCTGGCCACCCTGTAACCTGAACTGTCGTAGTCATGACGCAACTAAATTTATATAGACCTGCATGTGAGCCTCAACCAGATTGTCTGAAAATTTTGCGCAACCCCCCCCCCCCCAAAATAACTTTAGAGCTTTTAAATTGTGGGTGTCATAAAAGGAAGGATTTCCGAGTAACGAGCGACCACCCGAACAAACACAATAAAGAAGAGACCTAACCCTAACCCAAACCCTATCTTCCTACTCCTAGGCCTAACCCAAAAAAGAACCTGCAACGGCCCTCATGTAAAAAGGCCAGCACAAGTCAACAAAAAAAAAGAAAGAAATAAGCACACTCCAAAACAAACAAGGAGCATTTATAATAATAAAAATAATATGGCCTACATTGCTATAAAGAGTTTGATACAATTCAATAGAACAAGTGAATAGGAATAGATCTAGAATCTAGACCTTGAACGAGAAATCCGCATCCGATTCCGAAGAGAGGGATTCAGTTGAGTCTAGGGGTCTAGATCTAGATCTCTAGATATCTTTGTTACATTCTAAGTAAATAATTCACGCACCTGATAAAATGCGTTTTACCAACATTAATATTACAGCACAACCTATAATATGGTTTGACACAATAGAATTGGAATATGAATCCTCCATTGAGGTCCATAATGATCTATATAGATCTAAATCTCGATCTAGATCTAGAGTAGAACAAGTGAGTCGGACTTGAAAGAATCCACATGATCTGAACAATCAGTAAACAAACGAAATTCAAAATGGCCGCTCGAGCAAGAAACTGAAAGTAGATAATTTAAGTCGTCGTACTTTTTCGTATTCGTATTTCTACTCAGGTTCCGACAATTATGTCGGAAACGCCGACGTCGGCAGTCGGCGGTGCGCGCGTCGGCGGTCGGCACGAAAGCGAAAGTGCCGACAAAGCCGACGGGAGAAAAAGGGGTCGCTAGCACACGGCCAGGCCTCGCACTTCGAACATTGACTAACACAGGTGGGCCTAGCGATAGCATCGGCCGGTTCGCGATTGTCGGATTTCAGACGATTGTCGGCAAACATGCAGGTCTAATTTATAGCATGAGAATTATTTTACACTTTTCTTTCCGTAAAAATACAGAAGACTGGAAGCACTGGTTAAAAGGACCATAAAGAAAAGTGTAAAATAATTCCATTTTACTGCCACTAGGGGCCCATAGAGTGCTCTAATGAACCATCACTGAAACCACTAAAGCATCCACATGTCAGTCTTGTGCCAGTTGCCGAACAAAATCATAATTCATTTCAATTCGTTACTTCAACTGATATTTTAAATGACGACCATTTTATTACTCACCTTCCTCTCCCGTGCTACTGGTATGTCGGCGTTTGCGATTGTTGAAACGTTTGGCGGAAAATCTTGGAGCTGGTAGAGGGTCCATTCCCATAACTTTATGGATCTGGCGGAATGCTATGAGTCGGAGGGCATGCTGAAATACAAAGTACATGATATGCATGAGAAAACATATAAAACATCTTTTATTGTTACATAAGTCAGTGCTAACTGCAAAAGACTGAAGATAGGAGGAATTGTACACAGATCCAAATACCATATTATATTTCAGAAGCCCACTGGCTTTTCCCTTTGTTTATGTAAGCTTTATAGCACTTGCCACACAAATAAGTCAATATAAGTGCTGAAGATTAGAGGAAAAACCAGAGAGTAACATGCAAAGAGAAGGAAAGTGAAAAATGATAACCGTTTGATAAGAAAGAAGGAACAACCCTCGCAAACCATCTATTCCCACACCCACTGGTGCAAGTCTGTTCTTTACTTCATCATTGGTGATGTATTTCATGAAGATGTTAAGGAGTTAGTCAAATTCCCAGTAATACAAGAGGATAGCAGACATGCCACTCTACGAAATCGAAAAATCAGGATCTTGGACGGAAAAAATCGGGATCTGGTCAAAAAAATTGGGATCAAATGACAAACACCAAGGCCACTGCCAAGCTGACTAAAAATGTTCCTGGGGTGTCTGTAAATATTTACACATATACGCCCTGTGTGTGTGTGTTTCATTATTCTTTTTTAAAATCCCGAAGTAACACGTCAAGCACTCCTAGTCCAAGTGTCTAACCCC